TTGCGTATAATTGTTGTATGAGGTGTTAAATTGGCTGATAGTTTATTGATGATCGGAGTATATAATTAATGATCTTTGGAAAATTCTCAACTTGCAAGCAAATCACACTCAAATTATATGATGAAGTGAAGTTGCTCGTTTTGATTATATATATATGTGGACTGATTTAATTGTTTGACCATGGATTATATGTTGATTGACTAAAGACGGGGCTTCGATGGCCTCGAGCGCAGTTGTACCACTGGAAGTTGTGTGGATTTTTGGTGATTCATGTATATTTGAGGATGTTAAGATTGATTAGCTGTAGGTGTGGAGAAGACTTTGCTAACTTCGTGCTCGATCGATTTTGCTATTGTGCTCAACCGATTTTGCTATCGAGCTAGAAGCCTAGATATAGGGTATTGTAAGGAATTTGGTGTAAATGTTTGAGGTGGAGTTTATTGAACTGATTAAAAAGTTGTGTGGCTATATCTGAGAAGAGGTACCTCTGTATTATACAATTGTTTGGCTAGAAGTATAGAATTTTGATTCTGTAAGCAACTGAGTTGTATGTTTGAAGCAGAGTTTTGTGGGCTGTGAAGAATGGGGTTGTTTGGTTTATGAGGGAACGTTCGTGTTGGAAGCTTTTGGAGTTTGATTTTAAATTTTCTCGTATTCATTTGTGGAGTTGTGGATATGCACTTTGAGCCATTATGATAGAAGAGTAAAGATGTTGCCCAATTTTTATATGGTTTCGAAAGAAAGAAATCTGCTGCTAGAATGACTCTTCAATTTTGGGTTACTTGTGAGAATTGAAATAATTCATCTTTTAAATAATCTTGTAATTTTTGTGTGAGGGTGAGTGGATTTTGAGATGGTTCGTAGTTATAATGGCACTACACAAGTTTCTCTTTTTGATAGGCCACATTTGACCTTTTGTGGTCAAAGATTTAAAACTATGACCACTATTTTGATATCATGAACTACATATAATTCCGTGAAATTAATAAACTTAGTGGTCTATATATTGTTGTAAGAGTACTTCTGTAAAAATACAACATTTATAATATGTACTACTAAACATCATTTAAATTATTGATCAGAGTGTGACATCTTTGATCGTAAAAAGTCAAATGTGGCATATTTAAGAGGCACAAAGAGAATAATATAGCTTTTTAATTGTATCTTGATCTTGTCATTTGACCAAAGTGAGCCTAGGATCCTCTTTATTGGGCTTGTTGTGTGGATATTGTGATGGCCATGCCTTCCGTAGGAACCTTGATTCGCTGCAAGTCTGTATGTGTGACCTAGAAAGTCTCTTTGATCTTGATATCTCATGCTCATTTTGTATTGGATGTCTCATATGAATGATCATGATAAAGCATTCAATAACATCCAATGTCAAAAGAGTATATTTTTCTTCTTAAATTCCATCCTCATGTTTTGGTACTGAAAATTTGAGAAGAAAAACACTATTTTGACGGATGAGATGATTTGATTGCTATCATAATTGTTCAAATTGAACATCCCAAGCAAGAATAGTAGAAGAACACAAAATGTTGTTGTATTGATTCAATACAATAGCACCTATGAATGAGTCGGTGAAATTTTAGATGATTAGATACTGGTGATAGCAATTATATTTCCTCCTTTTTTAATAGATGCATCGCTTTGACTTTTTACATTGTTTATAAACTTACTTTGACCTTTCATATCTTTGATTTATTAGTAAAAAGTATATAGATTTGATAATTTATATTGAGGGTAACCTAATAACAATTAAATTAATGACATTTATCATTACATATGAAGTATTAGTAAATAAAGTAGTCATAGTTAGAATATAAATAGTGTAAAAAGTCAAAGTGATGCATCTCTTAAGAAATAGAGGTAACATATGTTTAGATTGTTTAGGAATTATCATTGAACTCTATTTCTGTACATATCTATGTGACTAGACCTTTTAGTTAAATCTAGTCCCTTTGACTAATAAATTGGTTTGTATGACATTTGTGCACTTGAATTTTTATCTTACCAAAGTTCTTAACTAATAGCCCCCATTGTTTATCAACTGATCATTTTCTATTATGCTATTTATTCTTCATAAGTAGGTAACTTTGAAGAGTAATTCTACAGATAAAAGATGGCTCTAGTCTCAGGTGTAAGATCAACACTGAATCCCAATGCCCCATTGTACATTCCTGCTGCTTTTCGACAGGTAGAGGACTTCTCACCTGAATGGTATGACTTGATCACTACCTCAATGTGGTTCCGGGATTATTGGCTAAGTCAGCACCAAGAAGCTGAAATGTTGTATGGCAACAACGTGAACAATTTTGAGGACAACGATGTTGTTGATTTACTTCCTGATGAAATTGATATTGGTGTTGATGAAGAGTTGTTGCTCATGGAGTCTCAGTTTGAGGAGTTCATCAAATCTACCGGGACTCAGGAAAGCAAGCTTTTACCTAGAGAAGGTGAATACTATGTGATCTATTAGTAGCAATTTTTCTTTTTTTCAAAAAAACCTGGGTTTGTTTAGCTGATTTTTATGGAAAATGATATATACAGTCCGAAGGATCCAAGTTTTGGACGTGTAAGTTTTGGAAAAAACTAAGCTGAACTAGACATTAATTAGTATCATTTCACCAACAGATGCGTGATTTTGTTTTGGACTTAGGTTGATATCAATTTAAGAATTTGAATGACATTACCCCATCAATTCAATTAAAATAGACAAGTGTAAATTGGTGAAGTTTAGCACATGTAAGTTCCTCTATCAAAGTCTGAGATGTAGGTAGACTTGGAATTTACCGGTAAACTAGCTGTATTCACCATTACATATAAAATGGTATATTAATTCGTTGTTCACATGGTTGTTTTCTCTATTTGCAGCCTTGGTTGATGTGAAGTCAGGATTCAAGTTCTCGGAAAAGCCCGTTCAGAAGTAGAGAGTCATAGGTGGGAGCAGTTTTGCTCCTTGCTAACAATATGATTCTCCTATAATAGCTGTAATTTCTGTACAGAGCCAGGTTGAAGCTCTTGTATGAGTTCCTTGTTCATGCCTTTCCTTTTCTTCAGAAAATCAAGAAACTTTTCGAGCAAGTGTAGAATGTAGAAAGAGAGTAAAATTGTATGATATTTAAGAAAAATGACGCGAGATTACTTTCAAATCTTTCTTATTGGCTTCTTATTCTATGCTTCTGACACAATTAACGTCTTGTAGAAATTTGGTGCGTTCAAAATTCCTTGTAGATGGCTACAACCTCAGGCAAACACCTTGCCAGAAATTTTATGTGTTGCAAAAATGCACTCTCTCCATCTTGGTGATGGGTTTGGTCTGCAACAGTCCAATATTAGCAGGTGGTGGCTTGTGTCCTGTAGTACTGGGACCAGGTGTTTCGGTGTCGACCATTGTGAGCCATACCTTGGGATTGTTGAATTCCCTGAAATGTGATTGAAATTATTTGGTATGTTGCAACCTCTCCATCTTGGTGATAGGTGTGGGCTGATACCGTCCGATATGGGCAGGTTGCAGGTGTTGGCTTGTAGCCTGTAGGACTGGGACCTTGTTGTGTGGCCTTGGACCATTTAGCTCCTATGTGAGCCGTACTTTGGGAGTGGTAAATCCCCTGAATATGCGACTGGAATCATTGGGTATTGCCATATTGGTACCTCAAGCTCCTTTTTTCATGCTTCTCCTTGGCCTATATTAATTGCAGAAGCCTCTGATTATCGGAATGTATCAGGTTAGAGGTAATGCTTATTTGCTAATGGACATAAATCAATACAATATTTACAAATTATATTAAAAATCCAACTATTTTTTAAAACAGAAATACCAAAGAAATCCAATCTAACTCTCCCTAAATAATTTGATAAGTGATTTTCAAGACACATTGAAGATTATTCGGCGTTTTCCCTTTTGATTCAAGTCTCATTAAAATGGCATCGCGTGTTGTTTATTCTTTCATTATCATGAAAAATCGTATACGAAGTATTTTTAATTTTAAGATTAAGCAAAGTTGGGTTATCTAAATTTAGTTGCAATTCTAATCTAGATCGGGTTTCTTATGTGGGATAAGCTGCCAAAATGGGTTAAGTACGTTTTACTTTAGTCTAATTTGTATCCCTGATCGTAACTATCTCTAGAGCTCTAGGAGTCTAAATATGCTTGACACATTCGAAAAAATATTGCTCATTAAGAAAATAGAAATGTGCAAAGACAGTTACAGTATCGACAAAAATGAAATTTTAACCAAACTCGGCCTCTTGCATTATTTTTCAAAACATATAAATTATGGAGTGCTTTTTATATACATAGAATAGAATGTGAATATGAACTTCCGATGTTATTTTGGCGCAAAAGAGTAAGGTCAAATGAGGAGCATGTCTGGATTTTGAGCATAGCACAACGGATTTTTTTTCAAAGTGAGTCTAATTACAAAACTATTTTGTAAAATAGACTCGTGGTTAGACTATTTACCAAACTAAGCTTCTAAGTAAAATTTATACCCTGATTTTTTTTAAAAAAAAAATTGGTAATTTTTGATTTTAAAATATATAAAAAAAACTTACACTAAAAACGTTGATTGAGTCAAAAAATTCGTCATTTTTTTTATATCAAAAATTACGAAATATAAAAAATAAAAAAAAAATAAAAACTAAAAACGCTGACTTATTATTTTTTTTTTTATATCAAAAATTACGAAATTTAAAGAAAAAAAAGTCAACAATGTTTTACACATTGAATTTTTTTTTAAGAAAACCAGGGTATAAAACGCTGTCCGAGACAACGTTTTACCCTAAAAGCTTAGTTTGGTAAGAAGTTTGGTCACGAATCTACTTTACAAAATAGTTTTATAATACTTTGGAAAAAAATCCAGCACAAACGCCTCAAAAAGGCTATAGTGCCTATTTTTAGGTGCATAGGGGATCACAATATTGACGTCGACAATGGGTGACAGTGTGACACCCTGTTTGCCCCTCAAATTCTCTGACTCTGACTTTCAGATCTGATACAATTTTAAATGGGATGTACTGTATTAAGCAATTGAAGGGAAATTATAATCCAAAATATACCCATATGCCAGACATGCTGGTAAGCTACCGAATCAACAGAACTATAATCCTAAGATTGATCACCTCAACAGCATTTACAGGACTGCTTGCTATGACTATTGCCGTATTATAGCACTAGGCTGAATCTAATCTTCAAATACAACAGAAAACACACACTGATATATGCAGCTCCAACCGACAAAATCTCGAAGCTCAGCTTAGAGCCAAAAACAGGTTATCTTATAAATGCTTTAACCAAATTCAGAAACCTGTAAAATGCCTTCAAGAAGAGAGATACAACCATATGCTTCAAGCAGTCACATATTCACTCTCATCTTCAAGCCGCTGTTTTTTCTGAGCTTCTAGTTTACTCTGATTACCAAGAGCGTCAGATATAGCCTGGGGCAACCAAAACCCAGGTCGCTCAAGATACGGAGCACGGTCAAGAGCTAAAGGTTCACGTAAGACAACTTCAACAGTATCATATGTCCATAGCTTTAAGGTTGCCTCGCCTTTGAGACCCAAAGCAAGCCAACCTAACCCAGCTACAGCAAGGTCAGAACTGTTTACATCCCAGCTAGTTCCAGTCACTTTAAATTCCCTCTCTGACCAGGTCCCCATTTCGGGAAGTCTATCTGCTCCTACAGGAGGCTGAGAGAAGATCAAGCCAAAAATAATGAAAAGGGGGTATTAGTTGTCATCCATCAAAGTGAAATGGTAAATTATGTATGTTCATGAATCAGGATAGAAGAATTGGTAAGGTATGCAAGTATGTTCATGATAGCAATTGGTAATGTATATTCACAATTTCACACTCCACAGAGCCATAGCAATATACAACTTAACTTTTACCCAAATGCTTAGAATGTCCATAAGAGATATTAAAAGACACTGAGTCCAGCAGGTTCTATCACAATGCAGAGAAATATATAGAACTGCTGAACCTATAGTTATTTTTTTTTTTTTTTTTTTTTATTTTTTTTATTTTTTTTTTTGGCCCTTATTATTGTTATCTTAAGCAGATTCTATCACAATACATGGAATCAGCTTTTGAGAAACACACAAGGCTCCTCATCGACATTACCCTAACTCTTCTATATAAAACATGTAATAACATACTAGTGGAAGGCAATGAAAAAAGACTAAGGTCTTTCACTCTTCAAATTAAAGCACTCTGTAATTTATCTTGACTTTCACGTTTGACAACAAGTTTGACCATTGACATCTTTAATTATGTGAATAAAAAAAATCATAACATAGATATTTAAAAATAAAACATTGAGAGAAATCCAACTGTTGAGATATTTGATATATTATTAAAAATATATAGTCAAATTCAGTGCAAAATTCAAACTGTTGAAATTATTACAAAATAGAGAGCGTAGGATAAGCCTCTAGGATCATCTTCGATATTTGCATTAGTTGCATACAGCACATAGGTGAAGACTACAGGATAATAGTGGAGAGAGTAATCAAAGGCCAGGTGAACTCTATACAAGCTATAGAAAATACAATTAAGTCTGCCTTTCACATAAAATGCAGATGAGATTGGCTTCATGCCTTCACAATAGGTAGCAGCCAAGTTGAAGCCACTAGTTTGTTTCAAAATGATACTGACGTTGTTGTGGCAATGTATTTTAAGTGTTTTATCACATCAACTCTTAATATCATTCTCTTGCAAAACATGCTTTTCACGAGTTTGTATTGTGTGTGGAGATATTGTAAGGGTATGTTGATTTTGTGTAAACTGAAGGATTTAATTGCAAGGACTGTAGGCCCTTTTAGTTTATATAAAGCCCTCCTTACCTTCTAAATTGAGTCACCTTTAAAAGAAGCCTTAATAAATTGTCTCAAGTTCTTAAATCATACTAGTAATAGAAATTTGCTAGCAATACAAAATTATTCACAATACGTCGATATCTGCTAATCGATAGTCAATACATGTACTAGCTCTTTTTATTTTTCAATCACTTGTCTTGTTTGAAAGAAATATCAGTTAATAGAAAAGGTAGAACTCAATGATAATTAGATAGGTCTTGTAGACTGATTGACCTTATTTAAGAAAATAAGATCACACTTAATCCAAGTTTTATTTTAATCTTCCCTTGCTGCAGTGAAATGGCTTAACAATAACAGAATATTAAAGTAGCAACCTACTATCCACAAAAGGCAATGCTAGAGAAATACGACCACACCCCAATCCCTCAAAGATACACCCAAAGTATCTATCAAGAACAAAGTTCACATTTTCTTAACCACTCTGTAAGAGTAGAGTAGAGCTCATCATAGGTTTTACAGCATAAACTAATTTTGACAATCACTGTCTATAAGCAATGATTGATTTTGGCAACCAACTCTCACATTCTTATGGTATTAGGGGAAGGTTTAGATATCCAAAATTCCAATGGCTCAAGTAATAGTTAATAACCAAATTTCAGATCAATTGTGCTTAGGTTGTTTATCATCAAGATTATCTAGAAAAGAAAATATGACCAAAACATAGGAAACATGATGTTCAACGAGGCTGACATGCTTACCTGTAACCTGATACCAACATGCTTACTCCAAGTTTCATCAGCATTTTCAGTCTTTCCTAAATGAAGAGACACATTTGGTGATGCCCACACTGTCACATAGATTGTCTGGACTGATGCCTGGACAAGGTCTAGTCTCACTAAGCCACCAACATGTATTGTTTGCCCTGCCTGCAAAGTGGCACGCAAGCTCATCAATTATAACACATAGATCTATAAGCATGATGCAACATATTACTATTAAGCAAAATAATTAAGTTTGGAATACGTAAAATGTCATTTGAAGTAGCAAAACATAAACATTACACGGTTACACCCCCCCAAACAAATGGCAAAATAAGGAATGCAGGTTTACATCAAGTAATCAACCACATAATGGAGACACAACCATATCGTTTAAATTACATAATTCTAGAATATTAAAACAGCATACAGTTCAAAAAACCTTTGGGTAATGTTAAGTAGAACACTAACTTGCAGAGTGGACCTTGAATTCAGGGAGAAGCAATAGCCACACATAAAACCCCTCAATCATGTAGTCAAATTAACATCTACAAAGTAAATTCTATGAAGAACCATTGTAAGTATAACTAACAACAGCCTGCCTGCATTGATTTACAATCAGAATTTACATAAAACACATTATTAATAGGTTATGATGAAGAATGCCAGATAGTATAATTTAGTGTATAATAGACATATTCAGTTGTATAGCAGCAAATTCCATAACCTTCTTTACGTTGTATCCACAAGCCAAATTAAAAATAACATTAGCCCTAAAACTGTAAGTTCAGAAACATTTAGGTGAACAGAACTTGCCTTAATTCTATAACTTCGAGGTCTCAATTCTTTCCGTATCTCAATCATTTTTTGTTCTTCCCTGCTTAATCTCATGGACATCAAGTATGCATGCAAGAGACCAGGAGTGTCGTACATCTTGGCCTTGCCAGACAAAACCCCTCCAACTCTTAGTATCCCAAGCGTCGTCCCAGGAACTGCTGCCTCAGTAAGCTTTGTAACTTTAGCACCTTCTTTCTTTGCAAATGTATTGATTAGGGTAGATTTACCAGCATTTTGTGCCCCAATAACCCAAACATGCCCTCGAGGGCCAGCTGACTCCTTGATGAAGGATAGCAAATTCCTCACCCCCAAATCCTTTCGAGAACTAACCAAATACACAGCATTAAGTTTTGGGGCTCCTGCAGCCTTTGCACGATGACGAACCCATCTATCTAATCTAGTAGGTGATATTTCAGATGGTAGGAGATCAACCTTTGTGGCAACGAGGACAAGCTTAGGCAACTTTTTGCTAAATTTACCATCTTGTTTTCCCTCCAAAGCCTTAAACAAAGATCTGGCAGCACGTTTTGGAAATGACCCGTCAAAATCAACACAATCAACAACCATAACAACAACCGTTGAATCCGCTGTAGCAGGTTTCATCAAACGGGTACTAATCAACCTATCAAAATCAAAATCTGGTATCAAGTTCTCAGCCATTTGATTCTTCACTTGCCCATAGTTCCTCAAAGAATGACACCTAGCACAGACTGTAACCTCTTCCCTCTCTTTCTCAGCCTCCCTAGCCAACCTCTTCCTCTCCGACTTTGATAATTTCTTCCTCTTCTCCGCCTTCTCCTTCACTAACTCCTCAGTTACATTACCATAACCAACACCAACAGGTTGAAACCCATCCAATGCTTCTAAATCCTCATCCTCCCAATCTTCACTATCCCAATCAAACCCATCATCCTCCATATCTCCATCAATCATTTCCAAACTACCCTCAATCTCATCGACGGAACCGTCTTCCTTCTCTTCCCCATCAAACCCCCCCTCAATTTCACCCCCAAAACCCTCTTCTTCTCCATCAATAAAACCCTCAATTTCATCCCCAAAACCCTCAATTTCCTCCTCATCAACAACCACCTTCCTTTTCTTGAAAAACCCAGGAAGATTAGGGTCATTATCTTGCATATAAACCCCACAACCTGGGCATACAAGCCCATGATTCTCATCCTCATCTCTTCCCTCACTCAATACTACATTCACACCACTCTTTCTTGAATTATTACCATCAATAACATCAAATTTCTTAACTTTAGCATTACCCTTTACTGATAAACATACAATTGAGCATTTTTTGTTGTTTTTTCTGTTCAATCCTGAGAAAAAACATGAAAATTAAATTCAGGGGAAATGGGTATCTGTTGGATTCTTACGGAAGGTAGAAAAGAGAGGAATAAAAAGGGAGCTGAGCTTACCTGGAAATGTTGTGATGGTGCTGCTACGTTCAGCCGAGGCATCTCTGGAAATGCAGAGCTTTGTGTTTGGAAGTGAAGGAAGAGAGGAAGATGATAGCAAAATTGCCATTATTTGGAAATGGAGCCTTTTTTGCGTTTGTTTCTCGCACAATTCTCAATTGTTGTTAATTTGAGAACCCCGGGGTTTTAGCTTTTTTGGTTCTAGTCGGGTCTAACAGCGGGAATTGGTCGCGTGGTGCCAACTAGTCTCGTGTTTAAATTAGCCACTCTTAGATGAATTAAGATATAGTTGTTCCTAGATGAACTAAGATATTGTTGTGTCATGTCATGTCGGACTTGTGTCAACTTTTAATATTGGAGCTTATGCACGGCTTGGTCCACATGTTGTGTCAATGAACCCCCTTATTAATTTTATACAACAAGATTGACAAAGAATGACAAACATAAAACCTAATATAGATCAATGCTAAGCATATAGATATCAAATAAGTTCATCATACTAGAGTTGAGTTCGCACCAAATTTTGAGAATAATGTCCATGCACAACCATAGCCTACCAACATGCCTCTCGTGTCATGCAAGGCTTGTGACGAGCTCGTGCTGGGTTGGCCCATTTTCATGTCATGCCTACCTGGCCTTCATGTCAGCCCTCCTATGTCTATCTGTAAGGGATGTTTGGTATGTGGGAGTTTCTTGCACAAAGTTTTGCAAATAAATCAGTGTAAATAAAAGTGTACATGCGGGTAGGTGGCGTTGGAAATATAATATTCGCATGATAATGAAGACAAGTAAGATAATATTTTATTCACCCCTAAAAGAAGCGTGATTTTGTGAGTATGAACGAGGATATGGTAAAAAGAGCAAAAAATTATAGCAAGTGAGGTTAGTGAGTCAAAATACGAGTAACGATAAAATATATACTTCCTCCATTTGTTTAAGTGTTACACTTAATCAATACTTTCACAACATTAAATTTTGTTTATATAATTTTTACTAACATATAATTATTACAGAAGATAATGGTCAAAGTTGTGTCTCGGCATGTGTGTTTGCTTAAAACGAACACTTATTAAAACATAGGGACTATGGATACTTGGAGAGGAGAATTTGAACATGTAACCTAAAGTACATTAGTACATAGGCAAAGACAGATTTAGGATTATTTCATTGGACGGGTCGTATCCTATAAGATTTAAAAAATAAAGGCTGCAAGCAAGAGAAAACATGGTACTACTAGTTCCAATAAAGTATTTGGACAATATAGTGAAAACCAACTTAGCTAACACAATTTTATGATAGTGCAGCAATATAGTATTTATATTTAATAAATTTCTGCTCATGGGGTGGGTTATGGCCTGAGTAGACCCACCCCTAGATCTATCTATGTACATAGGCCCTCGGTCTTTATAATTAGACCAAGACCTCGTCGGTCAAGTAAAATCTAAGGGGATGCCGAGGGAGCAAGTATTAGATCATGTAAATTTTTTTTAAAAAAAAGTAAAGAATGACTAAAATGCTATTAAAGTATACTACTTCCGTTCTACAATATCTAACACAGTCAACATTGCATACATGTCAATGCACTAGTTTGACTTTATTTTTTTATAATCTATTAACTATTACTAAAACAAAACATATTGATATCATCAATTCCTAAAATGTTTTATGTGTCAAACTTTCATTAAAAATTTTCCCTCCAAATTTACATATGACGTCATCATTTTTTTTTTTTATTTGCTAGAAACGAAAACCAAGTAGGTATGAAACTAAAAATCCGAACCTGACTTTGACATCAATATTGTTGTGCTTCCACTTTAAATGTATAACCTCATTATATAATGCAATATTTTATACGAAGTATATTTTTCAAACCATCATTTTAGTATTTTCAATAACATAGTAAATATTATGATGTAGCTTTAAATTATAATCATTAAAAAAAGGATGATGTACATTTTTTTTTTAATATTATAGAGTAATAAACTTTATTTTTACAAAATAAAAAGCGAGCTAAGTCATGTTAAAAAGTTATCAACAACAAAAGATATAAAAGAAATATGAAAAATAGCTTATCACCACCGTGCAACGCGCGGGTACTAATCTAGTTAAATATTAATAAATTATTTTAAAAATTATATTATGAAACTTTATATTGATACCTGTATAAAAACATATTTTATGGTTAGTAAAAAAAATATGGTCAAAGCTAATACATAAATAGTGAAAAAAGTCCAACGTCAAAGATATTATGAGACGGAGGGAGTATACGGAAATTTTTTAGTGACAATATTATATAAACTTAACGAACATTATTATTCCTAACATATTTCTCCATTCGTTCTTAGTTAAATTTTCGCAGTACTTGTCCTTTTTTTGATCATTTTTCGAATACTTGCAAGTTGTAACACTTTCTATTTTGATAGAGGATCATTTATTATATTATTGATTTCTCTCCTTTTAAAATTTTTAACCCCACTGGCACTTGCACCATCTTTTTTATTGTATCTTTCTCCCACAAAATATTACTACGTATAATACCTCGTTAATTTCAATTGCACATTAAAATATCATTTTTTTATGTACTACGTACTCATCCTCCTAAAACTACGCGTAAATATAAGTATTGTGATTATTTATGAATGGAGGGGATATTTCAACCTCTATTTATAGTTTAACCTTTTGTAACTTGATCTTTTAACCAATATGATTTACTAATGTTATTGTACAATATATGTTTTTTGTTGTTGATGAATATGTGACTTATAAAATAAACGGAAGAACTTAACCGCCATTCCAAATTTTCTATTATTATTATAGGGCTCTAATTTAAGGTAATATTTACTTGTACTTGATTGTTTCATTATTTTATGGAAAATTTGTTAAAAATCGTCTTATAAATTTGTTAAAAAAAATTTATAAGATGGTTTTAACAAATTTGATTTTTTTTATAAGATGGTTTTTAACAATTTTTTTTTTATTTATTATTTTAGCCCTTTTAAAACCTATTATTGAATCATGATAAATACTTTGTAGATATCATTAACCCTTGAAAATATTGAAACTTTTTTTTGTTGACAAAAATTACACACTTTAATGTATTTTCAATATTTCACCAATGTCCCGAATGATGCTCAAGGTTGTTATTTTTCGTATTATTTGTCTAGTGATCGAGAAAAAAAATTGACGTTGTAATGTGATAAATACATGTTTGATATTTGAAGAAAAAAACCTTTAAAGTTGGGAATAACAAATATAATTTCTATAACTAACGAATGATTGTGAATGAAAAAGTTAAAAATCAAATTTAATTTTTTTAAGGCAAATAAAAAATAATTACGACGAAGTATAGTTAGAATCTACTATTTAAATATTTGCAATAACTTATGAAAATATAGTAAATGTTCTACATAGTATTATAAACAAAGTTATCCAAAAATACAAACAAGTTACAAATTAAAAGGGATGGATTGGAATTTGGAAGGAGTGAACAATGAATTGCATTTTTGCTAATTGTCAATATATACACATGAAAATCTTGACAACATGACATGCATAGCATACGCTGATACGGATGATCCTATTTTTAAGTCTACTACACCAAAGAAAAAAACCAATGTCTTAACACATTACACATAACCTATATAAAAGTAGTCTACACATATATTCATATATAAACGTACCTAAGAAATTAGGGGAAAAAAAGAAAAGAAAAAAACACTATACTATTTTACTATTGAGTCTTTCATTTATCTTGATTTTCCTAATTACCAATTAGGACTAAGGAGACAAAATTGTATATACCGGTACCCTCTCTTAAAAAATTGTCACAATACTTTTTTTTGTTAAGATACCTCGATTATTATGTTTTCTCAAACTTCGGTCAAGCTTAAAAAAAGTAATAATTGAGAAGAGACAAAGCGAGAACTTGGTGACATCCGATCCTAATCAAACATGAAGGAAGTGCTCCAAGTAAAATAGGACATCCTCAACACTAACATGTCTCCAATTAAGCACACTCATAACCCCAACACTCACCTTCTCAATCCTGCTCATCCTACCACCACTCCTCCTCCTACTATCTTGACTATCCTTCAACCCGAACCGAATATCCGCCACGAGCCCGCTCGACATGGTGTTCGAGCAACACCCCGGCGACGGCAACTCCTTTGAAAAGAACCCATCAACACCCGAAGCCAACTTCCCAACACTCTCCTCAGCTAAAACAAACACCGCCTTCCAATCCTTCTCCGCCACCGTCCACGTCACCCTCGCCTCTTTCAACTCCTCCAAGCTCAACTCCCTCTCCTCCACCACCTCAACATCGAACCTAAACAACCCGTGTGGGTCCCTCTGCATGTCGTTGCATGGCTTGATTAAATTCAACGATCCACCGGGGAGGTGGACCGCGATGACAAAGAGAAGGCGGTCGAGGGAGAGCCGAGGCTTACGAGGCTTCCGTTGGCGGCAAAGGGCTGCGGTGTGGCCGAGAGCGTAGAGGCGGTGGCGAGGGAGCGAGGCGGCAACCGACCCGAGGGTGGTTGCAAGGGTGGGGAAAGTGGCCGCGCAAAGTGGGTCCCATAAGTGGTCGGAGGAGAAACACGTGGACCATGTTTTAGACACACACGTGGCAATGGCTAAGGTGTTTGAGTCTAAGTAATGAGAAACTAGGTTTAAGATTTCCCATGGAGGTGATGAAGGTGGTGATGACATCATATCATCATCATCATCATTTATTTGCATGATGTTAGTGGAAGACATAATAATATGAATTGATCTTAATATTTGGAATTTTATTATATTTGGGTCGTTGATGATATTTTTGTTTGGTATTGTTGTTATTTTGGGTTATAAACATTTAGAGTACTATTTTGAAGGTATATAAAATTTGGTGTAAGATTAAGTTTGCCGTTTATATATAGTTTGGAATGGTTTTGATGAGATTACGTAATGGTGGTCGGTTAGTATGTGTCAAGCTGTGGAATGTTTGTGCATGAAGTTGAGTTGCCACGTTTTCTCATTTCGAAAAGAGAATTTATTTGCTAATTAAAGAATGTAATTTAAGAACTCTTGTGTTTTTCGTATGTTACAATATGTTTTTGGTATGTTACAATAATAAGTACATGTGTTAGGATAAGTTATATTAGCTAGATGTCAAATATGAAGTAGATACATTGTGTGTCTTGAAGATGAACAAATAAAAGGAGTGGTTTATGGATGAGTCGATCGAGAATTAGAGTAACCCTTTGATACTAATTTTAGCTAAATAGCACTAAATCTTGTTATCAAGTTAATACGAAGTATAAGGTTGTTAGATTCTTCAAAAAAACAAAAAACAAAAAAAGGTATAAGGTTGTTAGAATTCCAACTCAAATCTTAATATTCTACCAAAAAATATGTTATTCATTGATCTATGTCATAGTTTAGTCTCTAGCATCTTATAATTCTATCTGAGTAACTTTTTTAAATAATAGGATTTTAATACGATTTTATGATCTTATAATCCATCAATCTAGTAATCTAATAATGATTATTTAGAAGATGAACCATTTTCACACACATATATTTAAATAACATCTTTGTTGCCAACAATGTTGAGGGCCGAACAAAGGATTTACTTTGTTTCTAAGACACTAAACATGAGCAAGATTATTCACTAGAATATCTTGAACTTTGAGAACTTTCATAGTATATAAAAAAAAATTCAAAATAGCTACCAAAATTTGATTATTTTTAACCCATTTATTATGACTAAATTTTTTAAACTTTTAATGTCGTTGTGGTCTACACATTGTTTCGAATAGAGGTTTCAAAAAGTTACTAATAAAGAAATACTAGTAAATTTTTTTTGAAAAAATAGGTCCAATTATTTGCATTTTAGTGGGCCCATAAATCAGTCCAAAGAAAGGCCCAAAAGCTCAAGCATTCTTCCAAAGCTTTGGCGCTAAATTATAAAAGACGACTTCCGCCATCATAAAACATTAACATTTTCAAAATAAACAATCTCAAAATTACTCTAATGGCGCGGAAGAAACCCTCTTGCTCAACCTCCAGCAATTTCACTCCAATTTCAATTGGTAAACTCAAAAATTTCTACTAATTTCATTTGATTTCAATTTTTGAGAGTTATTTGTTCTTCTGAACTACATTTTTCTTGATTTTTGTGGATTTTTTTTTGGGTTTGATTTCAGGAAATTGCGAGGTTTTTGTTGATGGAGCTGATAAGAGTTTCAAATGTGAATCAAATCAGGATTCTGTGCTTATATCTGCTTCAAAAATGATCAAAATCAAAATTTCAGGTTAAAAAATTGATTTTTTTTTTTTATTTTTTGGAAAAATGTTATATTTCATGATTTTAATCGCTAATTTATGTTTGTTGATAAATAATAATGACAGTGGTGGAAGGTATAAACAAAAGCCAAAAATTGGATGAAAATGGTAAATATAATTTTTTTTAAAAAAAATTTATCTAAATTTATTTGTTAGGGTTTTATTTTTTGTAAATATTTTAGGGTATGCAATTATGGGGTAAGTTTCTGAATTTCTTACTTGTTTGTTTTTTTGGGATGTTAAGAGAAAGAAGAAGGATCTACTTCGTCTGTCGATTGTCGATTTATGCTTATTAGTCCTAAAGATGCTGGTAGTCGTACCAAGTCTATGCTTCAGGTATAATCTTTCATTGTTTATTAAATGTGCTTCTAAAATTGTTTTCATATGGAAACAAATATTTAGCTAACTTTGTTCATTTATATGAGTAATTTATATCGTATTATTACTAGAGAGTTTCATATATTGTAGTGAAATTCAAGAAGTCAATTGATGGATATTGCTTAGGTTAAGTATGCAGTTAGACAATTAGGAGTTAGTTTACTCAATGGTAGTGTTGTTTGAGTTCAAAAGATGAAGTGGAAGACTTGAATAGAAGAAATGAACGTTTTTTTTCCCCTTTCGTTTGAAAGATTGTCGAATGAAGTTTAGGTGTAGCGGATAAAGGGCCTCGAGCCAAATATTTGAAAGAAGGTGTCTATGAGAGTTATTAAAGAAAATAATTGTGTTAAAATTGTTGTTCTGAAGGATCGAAATTAAAGCCTTGTAGTGCAAGGCAGCAGGCACATGGAAGAATCATAGTGAACCGTAGGAAAGATGACCAACTGCATTTAGTTGAGACATCAGGGTTTAAAGTTTCTCAACACCTCTTAGGAGTCAGGACCACAGCAAACTTAAGCAGTACCAGAAATAGTACACATTAAACATTTCAATAACATTTCATGATTATGGTCTTTATTATATATTCTATTGCTGTAAGCCTTTATCTATTGTAACTAAAAAACTTACCTAGTTTGAATAAATATTAAATGCACCTTTTCAATTCACTCCGTTGGGTACAGGATATATTAAGTTTATACATTAAAGAGCTGCCTGCCATGAACTATGCTGCTAACACTGGAAAACAATCGTCATTCCTTGAAAGATGTGTTTCAAGCGGGTATGTTGTGTTTATTATCTCTCATTTTACTAATGGCATCTTCATCTGTTGGCATCACCAAATTTTGCTCCTCTTGTGTATAACTAAGCAAAACCAGGACTTTTTTTGGTCGAATAACATAGAAAGTCAAAGCGCTACCAAACTGACTGCTAACATGCTAACCTATGTAAGGAGGTTGGTGATGAAGGAACTTTAAGTTTACTTCTGATGTTTGATTGAATTTTACTTGGCCTTTTTCAGGAAGTTCTGCACCCTTGTTTTGAGTCAGAAGTGTACTGAAGCCTCGGACAAGGTAAATTACTCCAAACAGAACCTTATGAATTTATTGCCATTTTTTTCTCCACGATTTTGTTGGAAGTGATATTTTCTTACCATAGGGAAAATTACAGTTTTGTACCATATAGGCAACTTTTAAATTATGCATCTCTTTGACCAAACTCTTTATCAGATGATTATATAATGTATGATTGAATAATGCCAGAAAGTATTGTACTTACCAACTCCTTGCCTTCACGAGGCTATAAATTTATTTGGACATGAAAGGGTAGCTTGATAGAGTTTTTTATGAATCATTTTCTTCACTTTTGTTCTGCAGGTTATTGCAGCAATTACTTATCAAATTATCCCGACCGATACACAGTATGCTGAAATTCCACTAGCTGCCGTTAGTTCATCATGCCAGCACAAGGTTGTCATTTTCTTTTCTATGATATGTGACTGCTCATCCTTCATGATATTTAGTGATATTGTACCTGAAAATACAGTATATCGTTGCTTTTGAAGCTGATATTATCATATTTGAGACTTTGCTTCCTCTTGCTCCTTCTGGTGTATGAGTGTATCTAGTCGGTCTTCTGGACATTGCTACTTTGATTAATGATTAAGATGAGTAATAATAAAGAATATATGGATGTAAAGCTATGTAGAAAATTGTTTGTTTGAGAAAATGAAAGAACAATAAATTCTTTCCTATTTTGAACCAATCTTTTTCCTCTATATAGTTTTTTCTGCAAGCAATTTAAAACTTTTGCTATCAATTTGACTTATTCTACATCACTTTGCTTATAATTTATGGAACCTGTAGGGTGTAGGTCGACTCTTGTACATGGAATTAAGAAAGAGACTTCAGGATGTTGGCATATCCACTATTTTGTGCTGGGGAGACAAAGAATCAGAAGGATTTTGGCATAAACAGGTACTCTTAATACTTCCTTCTCTTATGAATTACTCGTGGATGGTTGAAGGCTTGAAAGTACTGATACATCCAATTTCTTGTTTGCTTATGTGACCTTGGTTTGTATACTGAAGGAATCTTTCGTTATGGATTTTGGATATTGATTATGTATTGATGCAGTACACAATAAAGTACAATAGTAGTTTCTGTTAGATTTTTGCACCTTAAGAGATTGAGAATCAGGAGATATTTACTCAGCATGCCATAAGATTTCATGTAGTATATACTCTCTCTCTCTCTCTCTCTATATATATATATATGTATATCATAGTTGCTTCTATATTGATCTAAGGCAAACTATATGCACACCTTTTTGAACAATGTAATCTGTGTGCAGGGATTTGTATCAATAGCAGAGGTGAATACCAAAGGTAGAGTTCGTAAGCTTCCTATCAGAGCAGATATACGTCGGGCACTATGCTTTCCTGGTGGTTCAACACTCATGGTTACTCATCTAAATGAGAATCTCCATGATATTGGGGTTTATTCGGTAAAGTTGTGCTTGGACTCAGCCAAGAAGTCAACTTCAGCAACTGATGAGTTTTACAGCCTAGCGGGTACTGAGGAGGCTTTTGCTTCAGCATTAGGAAATGAGAATGTCCAAGAAAACCTACAGCTAGAGCCAAATGGTGAGTTCCAGAGACAAAAATTTCATGCTCCATTTTAGCATTATTTTTCCAATTTACGAGCCCCAGGATACTGTTCTGCCTTTGAAAATCAGTATGCCTGCTCAACCTCCCTCCTACCCCATGTGTGGGAAAATTTATTTTTCAGAATGCAGTTTTCAGTGGCTGTTTGTATCTGTTAAACTCACTGGCCCGTTTATCAGTATCCTGTGTCAAATAATCAATGCTTCTCCTTTTTCAAAGAAATAAAAAAATCAACTAAAACCTCTTCCAAGGGGTGGATTAAGAGATTCTCTCTGGTTTCTCTTCCTGATATTATGGCCAAATTGTAATTAGTTTGGATTATGTGAACTGGAATGTTTGCAAGGAAGAACTTTATATAAACTGTAGTGTGATGCGTTAGGAATTTCTTTTGTGATGCAACTTTGTGGAAGTACCCAGCTGAATGTTTAACTATCCTCACTTGGTAGGATTGCTTTGTGATAACATGTATTACAATTTTTTTTTTATTCATTGTTTCTTCAGAGAGCATATCAGTACAAAGCCACCAGCATTTGGTTACCCAGGAGAAAGTGGATGGTGATGCAGTAGGTGAATCATTATCTGCCGAAGTGGTTGCCAAACAAATTACTTCAACCTATAAACGGAATACAAAGAGGAGGGTTTGGGAAACTTCCTCTTCGTCATTGAACTCCAAAAGAGTAAAGGCTGCTCAAGTTTTAGATCAGTCATGTTCGGATTCTGTTATGGTTTCAAACAAGCAAGGCAAAGATGATTTTCCTTCTAATGGGGGTTTCTTGGGATTAGAAGAAAATATGTTATCGATGAAGGACAAGACTGTAAATTCTTCAATGGCTTCTGACGGTTCTGAGGCAAGGGGAATGTACCATAATATCATGTTAATGGATATTGCTGCTGGACCTAAAAAAGTTTATCTTACAAAGGTGTGGTATATGATTGTGGAGGATTACTAAGTCTCACTTTTGAAGCTCCTTTTGGGTGTCCCAAAAAAAAAAAAAAAAAAAAAAGCTAAAAAAGGGTTTTAGCAGATGCTTAAAAATGCAATTGTTAGAGGCAGTTTGGCACTTTCCTAACACTTGAATTGGTTGTTGAAATTTATGTCTGAATCTAGTTTTATTTTAAAACGCAAATTCTCTATATCCTGCTTCTGGCTGTGTTTCCTATTATGTTGAGTTTAGTCACACATTGATGTTATTATGGGTACAGATAGTAGAAGACCTTGGTGGAGCTATCACTGCTGATGGAAGCTCATGCACGCATGTTCTTGTAGGAAAAGTCAGAAGAACGTTGAACTTCTGCACTGCTTTATGTTCTGGGTTAGCATTAATAACCAAGTTACTTTTGTTTTTAACACTCCCTTTTTCCCTTATAATTTGTTCGTACTTATTATTTTGCAATGCCTCAACTAATGGTCCTGATTCCTAAGCTTTATCATATATGTTAGTATAATAATATATCTATCATTTTCCCTATATTACCTTACTACTTGCAGCATCTAACAGATACCAGGATTTATTTGTGAGATCAGTTTTTCTAACACATCATCTGTCTTTCTTAATCCTTGTGTTTAATCAATGAGGGACAGTGGTTACATTTAATTGTCTTGAGGATGTATCTTTTTTTTTTTTTTAGATATCACTATCATTAATTTGAGTCCTAAGCATTTAACCATTTGGCAGGGCTTGGATACTCTCACCAAATTGGCTAAAAGAAAGTTTCAGGAAAGGCACATTTGTTGGTGAGTCTTCAAGATTATGTCATTCTTGAGAAACATGTTTATTGGTTCCTTCTGCATAGAGCTTGCTTATGCGTATATTTATATATCATTCCTGAGCACTAATTTAAACTTTTGCAGATGAACATCCCTTCCTTCTCAAGGATGAGGATTACTTAATGAAGTACAGGGTTGATCTAGAAGAAGCTGTTCTTAGAGCCAGAAGAAATCCTCTAAGACTGCTCAAAGGATATACTGTCTGCCTTACAACTCATGTTCATCCCCCTATTAACATGCTATCAGCCATTGTCAAATCTGCTGGTGGTGATGTAAGTATTACTCCAATAAGAAGCGTGGTTATCGTTTAAGCTCTTATGAATTCAGATTTGTAGTTGCATCTATTTTCATATGTTGAAGTTGAGTATGAAGGTAAACACATCATTGATGTGGACAGTAACTAGGTGGTTTTCAAACATAAAGTTATGCCTCAATTGAGTCAATTCGAATCAATCAAGGACTAATAGGAATTTTTTTAATGACAAAATATGAGACTGGCATAAATATTTTAAATTAATTCATTAGTTATTTAGCTATGGTAAGCCTATTGCTGCACTTCATCTATGGTAGAGAGAAGGGAGTGAAGTGATTAAGTTGAGTTTTGACTCCAAATTCCTTGTGAAGTTCTCTTTTCATGTGCTACCAGTCATTTGTTGAGAGAAGATGGTAAAACCTAAGCATTCATATTACTATATTAGGTTCCATGACTCCTATCTTGAGTAATTTATTATCTTATGTAAGTACAGTAGAAACGAGATCAAAGCAATGGCAATTAAAGTTTAATCATCTGTTCACAAGTCATTAACTTCAGAAAATTCCTTAGTTGAAAGTTTTGGTTGATTCAGCTACCGGCTAATTTAATGTTCTAGGAAAGTTTGTGCTTTCATGTGTCAAGAGTTTCAAGTTATATATTATTGTCTTTTGCACTCTACTGTTCCTATTTACTGGTGTGCACTGTGCAGTCTGTGCACCTTGTTCTCAGCATGACAGTAAGCCCCCTAAATACTGTCATTTAACTGGTATAAAGCATTGACAGACCATTATTGCCTAGCTCTAGTATTGCAGAAAGGTCTGTCTGTTTCAATAGGGAAAACGGTTAGGAGGAATAATATCTCTTGTTAACTAACTACTGCTTTCATATACAAAATTCAGGTACATGTTGGTTTTAGCAAAAGAAGCGAAAAATCAAGTACAATCTTTGTTGCAAGTGAAGAAGACATGGAAGAAGCACTGCTAGCTGTGAAGAATGGCCTTCGAACTTTCAGTAGTGAGTGGTTTATGACCTGTATTATGAAACAAGAACTTGATTTGGATGCTCCTCAGTTTGCAGAATCTCTTTGAGATCTATCAAGTTCTACTCTCCTATGCTTTTTCAGGACAGAATTAGTGAGTAGATGTAAATTTTTAACATAATAATGTATTTAATATTTAGTATTTATGGAGTGGGAGGAGTTTAAGTTAGCTAGTGCAGGCTGAAAATCTGTATCATTTTGCTGAAATTGTGGAGGGATTGAATTGGATAAAGGAATCGGCTTGAGTTTTATCATTCTCTGAGAGCCTATGGCTTATTATTTAGGTTTTGTTTTTTTATTTTCTTATTCCAATTAAAAAAATCAGTAAGTACTAGGTGAATAGAACAAGACCATATACATTAAGTTTTATTTGTTTGTACCAAAAAAAAAAAAAAGGGTTTTTCTACACAATAACCCTCTTGATTTCAATTTTTTATGTTGTACTTCTCCATATAATACTTCCAAACTGTAACCTGCAAGTACATTTAGTAATTAATAGCCATAGAGTAAACTTGCCGTTATCTCGTTAACAAATTCCGTTAGTGAGGCTCACCCTCCACTTATTAATATTTTTTTATCGATTTGCGTGTTAGAAAATGTTCCGTTAAAGGTTTTGGGGGCTATTTTGGTTCTTAAGGGAACAAATTGAGCTTAGATTTGGGGAAAAAATAACGTAAATGTCTCGTTTTGCGTATTAAGGAGTGGTAATACCATAGCTCACTTACTTAGATTTACATTTTTCTCATGTAAAGAGGGGTAGTAATACCGTAGCCCACTTGGTAGCTAGGTGGGATACGAGGGGTTGTTCGGAATTTGTTTGTATTGACTCTTTCCCTCAAAGTATTATTGCTTTGGCGGAGTTCAATCTTTAATATAATGCCTCCCTAATCTTTCCTAAAAAATTAAAAAAAATAAATAAATTTTTTTTGTAAGATTATATCTTAATTTTAAGTTTCTGCGGATTATTTTATTTTAAATTTATTGCTACATGGTAAAGATATTACGGAGTACTACGACCCTGTTCACTTCACCTTAAAAAAATAATATTAAGTAAAAATAATTCCACTTCAGTAAAAATCAGTTTTAATCAGTAAAATTAATTTAAGTTCAGTAAAAATAAGTTCAGTAAATATAAGTTCAGTAAAAATAATTTCAGTTCAGCAAAAATAATTTCAGTTCAGTAAAAATAATTTAAGCTCAGCAATAATAATTTCAGCAAAAATAATTTAAGTTCATGTACTTTGATGCTTTTTTTTACTAGGCTTTTTTATGTAAATTATTTTTTCCATATATTGCAAAATATTGTCGTACAAGATTTTTTAATACTTCACATATATCTTTTTTATGCATCACTTTTGTCTATACTTTTATCACATATTGTATAGTTATAAAATATAATATCTTTTTTTTTGTCAAGTATAAAATATTATGTCTTATTGATAATATTGTAGTCGGTGATATTTGGTAAATACAAGTACTATATTTTATAAAAGGGTAACAAAATTCATCGTAATAGCATACCTAATCAATTACAATAAATTCAATAAGATATTGAAATATGATATTCATATATGATTATATATGCATGATCTATACAATACTACCAATATGTCGTTATATTTTTTTTTTTTGCTTAAATATCACATGCCTTGATATGATCAATCAATCTACCAATATTTGCTATAATTATTTGTAAATTACATGCAGTTAACCAACATATACGTAGTAAAAAATTGACTGACAATTCAAACCAAAAATTTAATTAACAATATTTTTTTCATGCATGTCATAAATTGTGCTAAAGTCTTTTGGTTTGAGATCGTTAACTCCAACTTGCTGCTTTAGAAACTATTTTAACGATCAACTATATATTTTAATAGTCTCATATATATATATATATATATATATATATATATATATATATATATATATATTTATATATATATATCATAATGGTGTCAGTGTGTTTGACTTTTATTTAATAAATTGTAGAATGTTTTATTTTATGTTCAACAAATGTAATTAATTATTTGCATAAAAAAAACAAATGTAATTAACTATTAAACAGAAATATATAAATTATATAAATTACATAATTTCAAAAATAGATTATTTTACCTAATATATCTATATATATATATATATCTATATATATATATATATATATATATATATATATTAAATCAGTAAAAATAATATCTAAATCAGTAAAAATAAGTTCATTTCAGTAAAAATAATTTCAGTTTAGTAAAAATAACTTCAGTTCAGTAAAATAAGTTCAGTTCAGTAAAAATAATTTCAGTTCAGTAAAAATAAGTTCAGTTCAGTAAAAATAATTTCAGTAACAATAAGTTCAGTAAAATTCAGTTTTAATCAGTAAAAATAATTTCAGTTCAGTAAAAATAATTTCAATTCAGCAAAATTAAGGTGAAGTGAACGGGGCCTACATATTAATTTATCACTACCTTTTTAAAAGATGAGTAAAGTCTTATAAATAGTGTTGAGATGAATATGTCTCTAAAAATAATTATTTGTTATGAAATATTAAATGTGGATGATTATTATCCCATGTATTATCTAGAATATTCTAGAGTTGGGTATTTGATTTTATCCGATGATGGAACCCTAGATAATATACATGTATAAATATCCCGTATTAGATGGAATGAGAATACACATAAAAATTTCCTCTGATCTCTCTCATTATTTTCTTTGATGTTTAACATGTTATCAGCACCATTGCTACAGAATATTATTTTCCTCTGAAAAAAAAAAATATTTCTTATCTTTAAGTATGTTGTGAGTGGTAGCACTATCAATATTTATAATATTGTTTTATATATCAGTGAATCATGTCAAATCTTGCAAAACTCGAATTTGTTGCTCTTGATATTACTGGAAACAACTATCTGTCTTGGGTGTTAGATGCTGAAATACACTTAGATGCAAAGGGACTTGGCGATACTATTAAAGAAAACAATACTGCAACAAGCCAAGATAAGGCTAAAGCTATGATATTCCTTCGCCATCACCTTCATGAAGATCTTAAGACTGAGTACTTGACTGTTAAAGATCCACAAGTCCTTTGGAGTAATCTAAAGGAAAGGTATGACCACCAGAAAACTGTGATATTACCAAAAGCTCGTTATGACTGGTTACATTTAAGATTACAAGACTTTAAGTCTGTGAGTGAATATAACTCAGCCATGTTTAAAATTACATCACAATTGAAATTATGTGGAGAGAAAATCACGGATGCAGAAATGTTAGAAAAAACATACTCTACTTTTCATGCAAACAATGTTGTCCTGCAGACACAATACCGTGAAAAGGGTTTTACAAAATATTCTGAATTGATATCTTGTCTCCTTGTGGCTGAGCAAAATAATGAACTATTAATGAAAAATCATGGATCACGCCCAACTGGCTCTACTCCATTCCCTGAAGCGAATGCGACATCCCATACTGGAAAAGAGCAAAAGGCTAGAGATCACGCCAGCAGTCGTGGTCGAGGTCGTGGTCGCGGCCGCAGACGTGGACATGATCGTGGTCTAGGTGGTCATTTTAGGAACTCATACTCTCACCAGAAGTGGGACAATAAAAATGGAAATAAGAATGAGAAGGTTAAAAATGAAAATATATGCTATCGTTGTGGAGGAAAAGGTCATTGGTCTCGTGTGTGTCGCACACCAAAACATCTAGTAGACCTTTATCAACAATCAATCAAACAGAAAGGAAAGAAAGTGGAGACAAATTTGGTGGATGAGGATGGCGAAGGTGATTTTGATTACGGTGATACAACTCACCTGGAAGCGGCTGATTTCTTTCCTAATCCTGAAGAAAATAATTGAATAAATTATGTCCCATTGGGCGAATAAACTCTGTTAATTAGCTTACATTTATTATAGAATTTTATTGTAGTACTTTGACTTTATGCTTTATGGAATATTTGTTTTTGGACAATTTTATGTTTTTGGACATTTTATGTTTCGCATTTTTCATTATTTAATTTAAGTTATTTGATATAGTGAATCTTATTTTAGTTCCTTTAATTCTATTAGAATATGTATCCCTTTGGAGCTCAATCATCAACCAATGGTGAAGATTTATGTCTAGTTGATAGTGCTACCACTCACACCATACTTAAAGATAAGAAATATTTTTCACAATTGGTGATGAAAGAGATTAGTGTGAGTACTATATCAGATAGTACAAGAATTATAGAAGGCTCCGGAAGAGCAAATGTTTTATTGCCAGGGGGAACAAAATTGGAAATTATTGATGCATTATACTCCCCTAAGTCTCAAAGAAATTTACTAAGTTTTAAAGATATCGAAAAAATGGATATCATATTGAGACATTTAGTGAAGGAAATAATGAATTCCTTCAAATCACAAGTATAACTCAAGGCAATAAACTTATTATGGAGAAATTACCTACATTCTCCACTGGTTTGTACTATACAAAAATCGATACAATTGAATCACATGCTATAGTAAACCAGAAGTTTATTGATGACTTCAAAGTTTGGCATGACCGGTTAGGCCATCCCGGTTCAATAATGATGCGAAAAATAATCGAAAATTCATGTGGACACTCATTGAAGAGCCAACAGATTCTTCATAATAATTTTTCATGTGCTGCTTGCTCAATAGGAAAGTTAATACTCCGGCCATCACCAGCTAAAATAAATTCCGAATCAATTTTCTCAAACGTATACAAGGGGATATATGTGGACCAATTCATCCCCCGTGTGGGCCATTTAGATATTTCATGGTTTTAATAGATGTATCAACTAGATGGTCACACGTATCATTGTTATCAACTCGCAACCTGGCGTTTGCGAGACTACTGGCTCAGTTGATCAGATTACGAGCACATTTTCCAGACTTCCTATTAAAGCTATTCGTCTTGATAACGCTGGTGAATTCACATCCCAGGCCTTTGATGAGTATTGCATGTCAATCGAGATTAGTGTTGAACATCCTGTAGCACATGTTAACACACAAAATGGTCTTGCGGAATCGTTAATTAAACGTTTACAATTGATTGCTAGACCATTACTTATGAAATCTAAGCTCCCAATCTCTCCTTGGGGCATGCTATATTACATGCAGCAGCACTAGTGTCAATGCACTTCAATGTCGTGGATTGCCCGTCGGCTTACAATGCCATCATCGGTCGACCTTGGATCCGTATGATGAAAGTTTTCCCCTCAACATATCATCAGACAATCAAGTTCCCAACCAAGTGGGGCGTGCAAGAAATTAAAGAAGAAAGGCAAGAAGCTAGAAAATGCTACAGTTCTACTTTGAAGCCATCCAAGAGGACAGTATGGCAATTATAGCAAGGACCAGCGTTAGAAGAGTCCGACAAACAAGCAATAGACGAAGTGACGCTGGATCCTAGCAAACCAGAGCAGACCGTCTAAAGTGGGGCGTCGCTTGACCTAGGTATAAGCTTTGAACTTATTGAATTTCTTAAAGCTAACACCGATTGCTTTGCTTGGTCGTATGAGGATATGACAGGTATCAGTCCCAACGTAATTACTCATAAGTTGAACGTCGATCCCAACCATCGATCGGTCAAGCAGAAGCGACGAAAGTTAGCACCCGAA